AAAGATCCTGATGGCTCCAAAACAAATGTTCCTGACCTGACCCAGAAGCAAGAGCTGCTATAGCACGGGGCAGTAGAGTCTTAAACCATCAGAACATTTGCGAAAATCTCTTTGAAAATCGTGAAAAACTAAGTGAACACAATGACAACATATGCCTATTATGCCATTGTAATTAAAACCATGGGAAGAGAATTATCGACCCCAAGGAGCACAAGACCCTAGCTAGCATCTTGGCCCTATCGCTTGTTGTTCGCCTGTGAGTTAGTTAAACCTCTCAGACTGTGTTTCTTCCTTTAGAAAAATGACCATAATTAACAATGCCGACTGCATGGGCTTTAATTATATGGATTAAGTATTCATATGAAAAAGGCCAGTGTCCCATACTTCATAAGCAATAAATATCATGTATAGATCATGCAATTAGAAGGGAGACCACGTAGGGAAGAAGAGATCTCAAGGGACAGCGATGGGGGAAACAGGAAGCAGTGGGATACATGTGACATGAAAGCAGAAGGGGAGACTATTGGGGGACACAGACCCGCAAAGGGGGGCTGAGGAGGAAGAGGGTGGTGGGAGAGGATAACAAACTAGAACCAATTATAATGGCACATATTTATGAAAATGTCACAATGAAACTTATTGCTTTGTATGATAACTTTTAAAAATCACAACAATTTTCGTGAGGAAAAAAACCAACACATGCCACCAGGTCTTTTATTTTATTGGCATCATTATTGCACTGGTTTCACTCTCAGATCTACTCAAGCTGTGGGACTATAAATGCAAGGCGCTAGCCATCATGGTCCTACAGTATGACTGAGTTGCATTTTTCCATTGACATCCGTGAACCACTTCACTATAGCACTTGATCTTCCCAGTACTGATGCCCACACACAGAGAAGACATACTCTTCAGATGATAAGAGTTTAAAGAAGTCAGTGGTTTGTCCCATGTCACACACCAGTTACCTGTAGGGACAGGATTCAGGACCACCTGTCCAACTAACAGTTCATGGTTCTTCCTATTGAAGTATCAACTTCCTAATATTTTAATGAAGTATCTTTTTTTTTCCTTTTTTGTCTTTTTGAAACAGGGTCTTACTGTAGGCCCAGCTGGCTGGAACTATGTAGATCAGGCTGGCCTCGAACTCACAAAGATCTGTCTATCTCTGCCTCCCAGGTGCTGGGATCAAAGGTATGTGCCACCATGCCTGGCTAAACTTCATAATATTTTTTTTCAAGCAATAAATATGCCTCTTAATGGGTTAGAAGGAAGACCATGAGTGCACAGGACGACGGCACCAAGATGCAGACCTGCTGCCGGAGAGATACCCACACAGGATCGGTGCAGGACTGACTGTGGTGTGATGATGCCCTCATCACAGACTTGTGTCGCCACTGCCCAGGGGTCCCCCAGGGTGACTATTGTGTGACCAAGTGGTGCTGATGCTCCTTAAACAGATTTCCAGTCCCCTCAAACTAGAAAGCACCCCCCCATTTGCCTGCCTTTAGAGCCCCTCTATGTCTAACCTCCAGATGAACTGTTCTTGTTTTCTTTCTTCCATTAGAACCAGCCACATCTTATCCTGCCCATCTGCCTGCCTTTCCTCAGGTTATACCCCCAACTCCAAATAGGCAACTTTGACGTTGTTTGTTTTAAAGCTTGGTTAAGCCATTTTCTCCACGAAAACAACTCAAACACCATTAATCTACCAGCCAAAATAATCTCTGCAGTCCAAATCTTCTATTTCTAGCAGCCTTTCTTCTTTGGAGGGAAGGGGGCTTCTATTCTTAATTATTTAGTTTTAATTAACAAAAGTTATATATGGGATACAATGTGATGTTCGGATGTGTGTGCATGTTGTGGAATGTGTAAATAAAGTAGCACAGCCGTAGCCTCATAGTCATGTCATTTTAATAAGAACAATTAAGATTTACTCTCAGAGATGTTTAGTATACACCAACTGTTAACTGTGATCACCATTCTGTGCAATCAATTTCCTAAGCAGTGTTTTCTGACATAATTCATCCAGTCATATGCCACGGAAGCCCTGGTTTGGGGTCTTTTTATTTCCTCAGCCCATCAAGGCACGGCCCCCAGCACAGAGCTGCTACAGAGTCACAGGTGAATGAGCCAGTGTCCAGCAGCCGGTCTTCTGGTAGTGTTAGGGGCATCTTTTCAAGCTTATGACACAGCACAAGATATTGCTATGGGTCGCAATAATTATCCAAATAATTTTTCAAAAACAAAGTTCACTTGTAGCTCAGTGGTGGAATTCTCTCCTATACACGCGGCCCTGGTTTCAATAAAAAAAAAAAAAATGCTAACTTCAACTAAAACACTGTCAATTAAGAAATTCAAACCTCTGTAAAAATCTTTTTTATCAGAAAAATTTCTTAATTCTCCATTTCAGTCTGCTTGTATAGGAAGGAATTTGGGAAAATAAAAACTTTCTCAAATCAAGTAAGCCCTTCAAAACATTGAAATCTGTATGTAGAGAGTAAGGAACTGATTAATGACAATGCAAAAACCCAAGAAGAGTTTTTAAAAGAATTATCATTCCTTTGAATCTTAGTGCAATTTCACAGGGCGCCCTCTGCTCTTGATCAACCTGAATTTCCCTCGACTACTATTACTTCCTGTCTATCACAATAGTCTAGAGGAAGCACTCCAGTGGCTTGAGAACACAGAAGACTGCAACACCACATAAATCACAACGGCCGTGATTTTACTTTTTTAAAATATATTTTTTATTATTTTTATTTTGTGTGTGTGAGTGCATTGCCTGCATGTATATGAGTGCACCTGTGTCATGCCCAAAAAGGGCACTGGATTCCCTTGGAGTTAAGGCCAGTTCACAGCCGCCATGTGCATGCTGGGAATCAAGCCTGGATCCTTTGCAAAAGCAGTCAGTGCTCTTAACCACTAAGCCATCTCTCCAGCCCCAATGATCATGATTTTAAAAAGGAAAAACCACAGATGACAAAAGATAGATGCTGGCAGATACTAGTGACCAGAATGGAATTGCACTGTGCCAAACGGCTTCTCTCCTCCTAGAGTCATACAGTGGGGCGAGGGGTGAATGAGCTAGCCTCATTCAGCCAAGGTCTTCACCCTGCCCCTAGCAGACTCCATGCTCAACCCTCTAGATCCCATCGAGCACTTTCCTTGTTTTCCCTCAAGGAATTGTCTAGTTAGCTTCTCTCTCTACCAGTCATTAAGAGATGGCCTCAAGCAGCATGCATCCAATACCCTCCAGCTCCAATCAGCTGAGCTCTGCATCTGCCCTGGGGCCCTGGAGTAAGCAGCCAGAGGGTCGTGGGATGACCTGGACAGCTCCATACTGTCTGCCATGGCTAGACTAGGGACACACAGGGCTGAATCTCCACATTTTCACACAAAAAGACTGTTTATGGGGAATGTGCCTTTAAAACAACCAGGCTTCTGCTTAGGTATGATGACATATCTGCAGTACCAGCAGTAGGAGGCTGAGGCAAAAGGACCATGAATTCTAAGCAAGCCTGGGAGACATAGCATGACCTAGTTTCAAAATAAACAACAACAACAACAACAAAAATATTGAGATCATGTCACATAAATAAATAGATATGTGGTCATAATAAACAAAAGATTGAGTTTCAGAGTCAAATCTGGAAAAAAGCATGGCCTAACTCTCCCTCTGGGAGTCTCACAATGCATACTAATACAAGGGTGATATAAAAAGAAGACGTGAGGTAAAGAACCCTGGAACACTTTGTTTAACCCAGCAAGCTCCAGATTTCTTTGTCTATGAACCATTTTTGTAGTCAACCTTTTCATGCTGAAATTTAGTTTGCATAGTCCATGGAGCTACTCTCTACTGAACAGCTGTGTGGCTGAATCTAGTTGCCAGGAACTTCGTTGTTTCCCTGTCCACGAATCACTGTTCAACAAAGGTCAGTGGAAGAATGAGGTGAAGAACAGGGGGCTTCAATTTTTTGTCAGCCAAACTGAAACATGATCTGGAGATGTCACATTAATATAGGAAAGCAATTTTGAAACAAAGATAAAAATACTTAAAGTCACAATTATAATGGTTCAGAGCCAAATGTCATTTATCAAACAAATTATGACCATGGACCCACAGCCCAACTGCATGTCTTTCTATGTATAAGATGAAGCAAGCAGAGCGATTACTCAGATATTTCAAATCATCTTCTCTTCTACATTGATATAACCTTCCTGTTCATTTTTTAGATAATTCAAGCTTCCTGGGTTTTAATGTAGAATAAAAAAGGTAAGAGGGAAACTATGAGAAAAGTTATCGTTGTTAAAAACGCTTAATTATCCTTTATTGATAAATTGAGATTTTCTAAAGACATTGTCTTTACTAAGGAAATATTTGGATTATATGACATAATGCATTGAAATTCTTCCAAGTATCTGAGAATTATCATTCCCATATTTCATGTTTACTCTCAATAGATTAGAGCACTAGTAAGTCTTAAAGTACATGTATCAAAGATCTCTAAGAAATCAGTTTGACTAGACATAAAATATCTAAAATAAAAATCATAGAATATCCTTTTAAACCTCATGTATCTCCAGAAATTCAGCTAAACTCTATTCAAGCTTATGAATCCTGAGACCATGGAATTGATCTACATTTAACATTAAATAAACTTAATGTTACACTTAGTATTTAAGATCCACATCAACCTATAATAGCAACTCAAATATCATTGCTTATTTCATTTCTTTTTCAATCGAGGACTACAAAAATCATACATATGCAAGGTTATCCCTTTTCAAAACACAGTTGATTAACAAACACATCACATGAATACAATCTGAATCAAAGAAGACACATCCCAGGATTTCCTCCCAAAATCTGGGGGCAGCCGGAGCTGACAGTGAGCCTGTTTAAAACGCACTTTGGTGTCAGACTGGACTTCCTCTCCACTCCTTCCAGTCTATGGACACGTGAGCATGTTTTCAAGTAGCCCTAGTGGCAGCCTTACCAGTGTAGATGCTGGCATTGGAAGCTGGGATACCAAACTGTGACTCGATGAACTTGGGAATGAAGGTAATGAAAGCTGTAACAATGGCACTTTCAGCTGTGTATGACAAACTCACAAAAAGGAATGTCATGTTGCTTAAGATCCTGACAGCTGCTCTTGGGAGGTCTACAAAATGACAAAAATGACACATGAATGTTATAAACAATGGATGGAAAACAAAAGAAAACTGTTTTGAAATGAACTGAAATTAGCCCTTAGGTAACTTTCGCCACAAGAGAGTAACGACAGAAAGCCCTGGTGACATCAGAAGCCGCCCCCACTACTAGGGATGGGTGTGGTCTTTAAATTTTCAACCAGGACAAGGAAGGAAATAACATACCTAAAACAATGCCCAGACACAAACATCTTCATAAGCAATATCTAGCCTGTGACTCTTACTTTTTTAAAAATACTTAAATTCTTTGTATTTTTCATTGATTAGAAGACATTTTAAGACCCCAAAGTCTCTTAAACATGTAAAGTACCTGCTGTCCAATTGTAAATTACAGTTCCCCATGCATCCAACAACCACTGTCCTGAAAAGTTGCATTTCTTTTTATTTCATTACTTATTTGTGTGTGTGTGTGTGTGTGTGTGTACATGTGTGGGGGTGCCGCTGGAGGCCAGAAGAGTGTGTCAGATCTCCTGGAGCTGGAGGTATAAGGAGTTGAGAGTCACCCAACATGAGTGAACAAACGTAGGTACTCTAGAGGAGCAGCAAGCATTCTTACCCACTGAGCCATCTCTCCAACCCCAAGATGCATTTCTGAATTGGCCTGCTCTTGGCCCCACACTGCAGATGCCCACCACAGAGCAACAACCACAAGATATTGGACATCTGATCTTCCAGCCTCATTTACAAAACAGGAAATAATGACAGCTAAAAAAAAAATCACAAGGCCTGAGGCTATTAGGCCAGGCACTCTCTGGTGCTCTTAATTGGATTACAAAGTGACATGATCACTCAAGAGAGAAAGAGAGCCCAGAGATGGGGCTCCGCAACTACTGGGTAGCCCCTCAAGAAGAAATCTCATCTTTAAGTTAGGTATTTATTTTGCAGAACTTGATAGAGATGTATGCCCAAGTATTTTCCACTACAATATCATATATAATATAAAAATTAGTATGTGGGGGGTTCTAAATGGCCATCAATGGTAAATGCTCAAATTATGGTATGGCCACAAAATGGAATATTAGGTAGTCATTAAAAATGAAACAGAATTACAAGAATTATTTTTATTAATGAGTAAAGCAAGTTACAAAAATACACATAAACTATGTGTGTATCATATTTAAGTAAAAATAAAACAAGCCATAAGAATGCATTCACAGGTGGTCAGACGAGTACTTCTCAAAACATTATTATACATTATTATCATATACATTATTATCAAATTCTTAAGGCCTTAAATTGTATAACTGTAAGATTAAGAGAGGAATAAAAAGAAGTTCTATATATAAACTTGTAGTTTGCATTTTTATTGAGTGGATCGGCAAACATTTAAGTTTTAATCACACACACTTTTGCATCCTCATGGAGAAGAGTATCTCAAAAATAATTATCTCTTACATTACAGCATAGTAAAACCCTTTCATTAAGATTAGCCAACTATTTTTAAAGCTATAATATGTACCAGAATTAAAACTTAAACAGTAAAGACAATTCGCTGACATTTCAAATTTTTAATTAAATGTAACCTTCTATGTCTAAATTTAATTTTGTAAAGGTTAACATTTTAATGAAAAGCTAAGATGCATACTTTATTTTTAACATGGATCAACGTACCAGAGAAAATCACAATCAAATCCTTCATAATTTTTCTTATAAACATTAAACTAAAATGTTATACCCAAAAAATAAAAAATAAATAAAATAAATAAAAATGTCATATCCAATTCTCAAAGTTGGTAAGTTAAGATTATCTATCAATATTCAAAGATGTTGATCTATCAATATCAAATTGTCCAGCTGGTATATTAAAAGCCAAAGTGTTACATCTAAAACATTTGAGAAAAACATGTGACATTGATATCTGTATCACATGAATATTTTTAGGTTATGCTCATCATATCAAGAAGTTTTTTCTTTTACAGACATGTGTTGTGATTAAAACAGCCTTATAGTTTCAAGGGCAAGTAAAAATATATGAGTGTCTCTTCTCATTAAAAAAAACAAAGTTTGCTGTGATTTAGGAAGAATGGACAAAGTTCAGTTTTCTAAAAATTCTTCCTTGGGCCTTCCATCTCCATTGACTGGGGCTCAGCTTTCTGTCCACATACACTGTAGGAGCCAGGGAATTTAGGGCTGTACTTTGGACTAGTGCATTGAGTGCTTTTTACATATGGGGGCTGAGCTAATAAATACACTGAAGAGTGATTGAAGTCAGAGAGCTAACTGCCAGGGAAGGAGTTAGAAGTTCGGAAAGCGGATCAGTTAGATGTCAGACTGGAACTGAAGTATTGGTACAAACCAATTAGATAGGCAAATAGGTAGAGAAATACATTAGATGATAATAGATGGACAGACAGATACAATAAGAAAGATTGATTGGCAGATGATATATAACAGATAGATAAAACATATGGTATACATATATGCATAGCTGTGTGTGTGTGTGCGTGTGTGTGTGTGTGTGTGTGTGTGATTTCCTAACTTTGTTGGCAACATGACTCAGATATCATAATACCCTGGCAGGAATGAGCCCACCTAGCATCCTGGTTTCTAAAAGCCATTTTCTACTCAAAAGAACAGAGAAGGGTCTAATTTCAGAGCTGGAAGAGAAAAGATACAAATTGTACAAGACAGTAAAGCATCATCCAAAGGACACCTGGGAGCAGCTTGAGCTCAATAGATGCTAAAAGCAGTAAGAGAAAATCCAGTAGGAATAGCATGCATCCACTCATTATTTGTGGATTTTGTATTTGCTAATTCAGGTGCTTGCTAAAGTTTATTTGTAAGTCTAAATTTAATACTTTCACAGACACACTCAAATCAGCCAAAACTTGAGGCATCCAAGCTCTCTTTGCCCAGCTTCAGCGGAACAAGGATCTCTAGCCTCTATTACAGTTCTGACAGGATACATGAGGATCTTTTCATAATACTTTGTCACACTTTTCTCACTGTGTTTTTTGTGGGTCTTTTTTTAGGGAAGGGTTGGCTTATTTAAAAGGTCACTAATATCAGGCATGATGGCACATGCCTACAATCTCTACTTAGGAGGCTAAGACACAAGAACCACTAGTTGAAGGCCATCCTGGACTATACAGCAAGATTCCAAAATACAAAGGTAAAATAAGAGGCCCCCAGGAGGTCTCCTGCAGTGCTGCAGTGCTACTGAGCTTTGGTGACTGTGATGAGCTTAGGGAAAACCATGTATGTCAGAGATGATTCCTTCAGGCATGTGTTATGATGCTTTTCACCATGTCCTCAAAGCTAACTAAGTAATCAACAACAGCTACTAAATAAAGGTCTTCAAACAGAAGCAAATAGAAATGAAGCCATGTGTGGACAAGATGAGGATCATGATGTGACAGGTCCCAACCCTGTTTCTCCTCTAGGAACAATACTTCCATACTCACTAACTTGACATCTTGAAACATAGCTACTATGAAGAGTAAGAATTCACTGATGCTAGTAGCCTCAAAATATTTTCCTGTAAGGCACTTATACATCATTTATTGATTTATAATTACATCCTGCAGATTAAATTTTCCATGGAGAATCCTAGTAAATACAGTCAGTCTTCCAGGGTTAAGATTAACCTAACTGATTAGCGGGCATGTTCACACCATCTGCCAAATTAGGATGCACTGAACAGAATATTTTTGTGTTCGGTACATAAATAGAAGGGTAACATCAAACCCAAATCAAGGAATATTTTATGAAGATAATAGCCTATACTTTCGGGAATAGATCAAGATTGTGAAAGATAGGAATAGATGAGGAGATGACCAAGGTTGAAAGAGACACAAAAACTAAATGCCTGCCCTCCTGGATCAGATCTTGGACATAAAGGGCATTATTGGGAAGACTGAGATGTGGTTTAGATGATGGCATTGGCTCACTGCTTCTCTCCAACATTGGTTTTTGCTTGTTTTTTGTTTTGTTTTGAGACAGGGTCTTACTGATTGGCCTAAAACAACTCTCTATGTAGACCAAACTGACCTCAAACTTACAAAGATCCACCTGCCTCTGTATTTCTGAGTTTTGAGGGCTACCCAGTGGCTTGAGTGTCCTTGTACTCAGGAAACACTCAGGAAAGTATGCGGAGTGGCTGAGCATTACATCTGTGACTTCCAGGGAATGTTACTCATTGGGGACTCATTACAGACCACCGAGTAACCAAGGAGTGGGACTCTGTGTGCCATTCTGCAGTTTACATAAATTCAAAGGTATTTCAAAAACATAACTTAAGAAAGTAAATTAGATAAGAAGTTTCAAAATCATGGATTTGCAGCCAAATAGCTAATTTTTAATGCTGGAGAGTATATTTTAGATTTGTTTCATAGTTTCATTTATGAGCATGTTATTACATAATCAAAGATGTCACAAAGAGCATGGTAAGGGAGACATGCTGACTCATTTAAGGCTAAGAAATCTTCCAAATCAGAGCCAGCAGCATGGCTCAGTGAGTGAAGGTACCTGCTGCCAAGCCTGAGGACCTTGGAGGGACCCACATGGTGGAAGGAGACTAATGATGCCCACTAGTTGTCCTTTGACCACTACACACATGCTGTGGCCCACATGCATCCATCTATCTGCAACAACTCCACCCCCCGTACACATATACAAACACAAAGTAAATAAAGTGTAAATAAAAAACTTTGAAAGAAATCTTTCAAATTCAATGTGAAGGACAAGCCAACATTAAAACCAGGAAATGCCTTACACAGACATAATGCTGGAAGAAAATGCAATACAAAACTAGAACAAGACAGATGTGGAGTATACTTAAGAAACCCTTGTAGGGGGCTGGAGAGATGGCTCAACAGTTAAGAGCACTGACTGCTCTTGCAGAGGACCCAAGTTCAATTCCCAGCACCCACATGATGGCTAACAACCATTGTAACTCCAGTTCCAGGGGATTCGATGCCCTCTCTGACTTCTGCAGGCATTGCATGACACA